CTAAACTGTAAGTAAATTATTACTTACAAACAACATAGTGTTGAGAGCAGCAATTTGACTGTAAGTGCAATAATAAAGGCACAAGCAAAGGGCCATGGATTGCAAATTCACTTTTGATCTGCTTATTAAATGATAAAATAGCACGGAACTGTTAGGAGGGCATGGGATTTAAGAATGAGATGGTCTTGGGTTTGAATCCCATACTTCACCATCTTTTACTTTTCAACATATGTCTTTATTGAAGTTTAATATACCCACAGAGAAGTGCACATTCTATTTGCAGAGCTGAATGCGTTTTCACAAGATGAGCACACCCGTGTAACCTGCACCCAAATCAAGGAGCAGAACGTGAGCAGTTTCCCCTAAATCCTTCTTGAGCTCACTCTGTCACTTCATTCTCCTATGGGTAACCACTGTCCTGATTTCTAACAGCATAGATTTTTTTGGCCTGTTTTTGTTCTTTATATAAATGAAATCATACAGCTTGTATATTTTGTGTCTGGTGATTACTCAATATTATGCCTGTGAGACTCATCCGTGTTGTTACATGTAGCTGTAGACTGTTGATCCTCATTGCTTATAGTTTTCCATGCTGTGAATCTAACACAATTTATGTGTTCTACTTGTTGGTGATCGTTGGAGTATATTTTAGTTTAGGACTATTTAAAATAGTGCTTCTGTGAAAATTCTAATACATATCTTTTGGTGAATATAAAAATGCATCAGCTTCGATAGTTATTCCCAGTTTTCTAAAGTGGTTGTGCAAGTTTACATTCCCCCAGCAGTGTGTGTGAGTTCTGTTCTAAGTGGTTTTTTTTTTACCATATACATATTTATATGAGTCATGTACCTTTGTGTCCCCACCATAACAGCCTACCTCCACGTATCTACTTCTATCATATTATTAAAATGTAGTATTACACTTACCTGTACTTAATTACTACAAGTCCATGTCTCCCTACTAGACAGTGAACCCTTTGAGTCTTGCTGTTTGTATTCGTAGCTCCAGACACAGGTTTGGATCATACAAGGTTATTTCATAATTGTTTGATCAATGAACATATTAATGAATAGATAAATATATAGGATTTTCCTATTCTTAGTGTATAAATTATATACTTGGAAATTTTCCTAAAGCTTTCAGACATTGTAGGAGAGTTTTCAATCTCTTACCTCTAACCTCCACTAACCCAAAAATTCCTAGAGGTCTTTGAGATCCAGAATCCAAGTGTCTGGCTCAGCTACTCGGCCAGTGTGGAGAAAAGAAATAGAGCATAGGGAAATTCTGCTTTGGCTGAAGAGTTGTGTTATACATCATTATTTCAGCCTGCATTTACCCCAGATTTCACAGACCAGTATGTATACTCCACATTTACAAAAAAGTAAAAGCCTCAGAAAGACCTTCTAAAAAAAACCCTGTAAATAAGGGGCATACTTATCAGGCCAATGTACACAATATGGATAGTCTTATGTATTTAGATCTTTTTATCGATAAACAAAATATTTACAAATGGCCCTGAAAATACAAATAGCCCAGTGGGTTGTCAGTTAGTGAGGGAAATAGAATAATTAGGAGGGAGATATTGGGGTTTTTTTGTGCAGAATGAGAGAAATTCAACACTCAAGATTTCAATAAATAGGAATGTTGTGTTATCTTTTCAACCTCTGAATCATGAAAAAACTTTCAAATAGAAAAGAACCTTAAACAATTAGAAAATCTATAAAGATAAACTTGTTGTTATACATGTTTTGTTGTTGTACTTGTGTTTTGAAACACATTTCCCCTCAAATACAAAATAACATCTGCTAAAAAAAAAAAGGAAGGAAGGAAGGGAATAGGAAAGGAAGACTGGAAGGTTGCAGGCCTTTGTAACATTGAAAGGCATGGTGATGATGAAGTTCTAAGGAATGAGGATGCATAGGGATTTGCAGTTGGACTGATGGTAACTACTAGTATAATCTTGGAATTAGGCTCTCTGAATCTCAGTTATTTCATTTACATAATGCAAGTAATACATATCTCACAGGTTGATTTGAGAATTAAATATGGCATATGCAATATACTTTATAAAGTGCTTGTCACAATGCCTGACTCATAACACTCAATGAATTTTTACCTTGTGTTATGGCCAAACTTGTCATGACATCATTACTATCAACTATACCAGGGCCTGTGGTAGATCCCGTTAGACTCCTCTCCTGGGGTGAGGAACTGCAACATGAGAAATATTTGACACTTTACCGGTAAAATTTTCTGCAGTTAAACTTGCCCTATTTAAATTATAAATGGCATAAATATCTGTGAGGAATGAATGAGCATTTAAGCATGGCTTCCAACCATCTCTGTGGGGTTTGGGAAGTTGCTGCCCTGGGTACAGAGCCCTTGAGCCTTCTCAAGTGGATGCAGTCAATGGTCTCTACTCTGAGACAGCTGCTTAATAGCGACAGAGCAAGGTTCAGCCCTTTGCTGAGACATAGCCTGTGTGTCATCAGTGAGCCAGAGAAACATTCCCACAAGAGGCTCCTCCTCAAGGATGTCTGGATCTTTGGAAAGTTCTAGCTATCACCTCAAAGGTTATCACCATTCCCACTTGCTCTGCTACTTCCAGCAAAGAATCTGGACTCCACCCCCTTGCATCAAATCAACAGTTAAGCATGTTTGATTTTCATCATTACATTTATCACTATCTGATATGTTCTCATGTATGTCTTTGGTGGGAGAGGGGTTAATTATTTATCTGCTCTTCATTTATCACTATCTTACGTTGTTTCTGCATTTTTATTTGCTCATTGTCCATCTTCACTTTTTACACGCACTCTCCAGGAGAATGTATATTCCTTGACAGAGGAATTATGTATGTCTTATTCACTGCTGTATAACCCAGCACACTCTCCCAATGTGGGAGCAGAAGAGATTCTGCCTGGAGACACTAGGTATGCAGTAAGCATCTTGATTCCTTGCAACGACGTATCCCCAAGTAAACAAAGAAACCCTTTATTTACCCACGCTTAGAATTTCATATCAGGGAGCGATGAGCCAGCTTTCCCATGGCAAGAATGTATTTGTTGTTCCTTGTCCTTTCTACTGCTTCTCTTCCAAACAATCAGCCTGGCTTTTAAGCATTACACTTCCCCCATATAGCCCTTCCATAACAGGCTACAACTCCCTTTGCAAAAGTAATTGTGAATACTTTCTTCTTTCGTACATCTGGAATACACCAAAAAGCACTGACTGTCAGTGTATGAGGCTACCTGAAAATCTGCCATATCTCCAGCTACTATGTTTTTTCAGGCTGTTTAGAATATTGAGTGCAAGGCAGTCTTCATTATCCACTCTCTTTATACAAGCAAGTTGTCATCCTTGCCTGACTATACTAAAGCACATTTAGAATCATATATCCATTCAGGATTCATTCCTCCCTAGGAGAGAAGATGTGAGCTGTACTCTGCCAGATTCTTGTCTGTAAAGGGTGACCTTGAAAGGTCCAGCAGAAAGTGGACTCTTCAGTCCTAGGTGCTTTGCCTCAGCTGTGCCTGCTCATAAAGTAAGTTTTCAGGCCATGGATCCTGGTAGTTATCAAGCATTGTTGCACAGGGAACAGACAATGCTTCACTACTGCCAAAACTTGCTCTTACACAAGGTAAAGAATGTCAGAAGCTGGAACTATAAATGATGTGGCATATTCTGAGGGCAGAACCCAATTTCTATGGAACACCTGCCTCATTTAAGGCTACCATATGACACATGGTTTCACAAGTGTTCAGAAAACTTCATTTACTTAACAAAACTCAATTAATTCTTGAGTTCCCTCCCTGGATAAAACAAAACTGCAGCTATAGTGAAGGCATGAGTAGCAGTCTTTACTGTGACAAGAAATAGAACCAAGAAAAGATCTGCAAAAGATGAACTTGAAATGGACATCCAGACACTGGTTCCTGGAAGCAGTGGCAGTGTTGCCTCTTCCCCCTGGCCTGATCCCAGATGGCAATGCCTATCAGAGCCTCCTTTCCTCTGACATGCCCTCCCACGTGTTGGGTCTTGTACGGAATTAGAGGTCATGTTCCCAGGGTGGCATGGACCATTTTCAAGCAGGCAATGAAAAGACATCATAATGCGGGAAATGGGAAGATACTTGACTATGTAACACTGCTTTATCACATCAACCCATACCCACCCCAGGGTGCTCCAACGGCCCATGGTCCACCAACAGCACACTCCTCCGATCGGATTAACAGTGGCGCCCAGTCACCTACCAAGCATGTTTCCAGTTTAAGCAGTCTCCGGCTCTCAACCACCACCCACTTCTCGCCTCCACCTTCCCATTCCTCTCTACAGACATAATTAACTAGTGGATTACTTACTAATCCTTCTGTTAGGGAAGATTTCAGCCTCACTGTAAGGCCTTATTCTGAAATCTGTAAGGATTTGTAACATTAACAGGGAAAAAAATTCGAGACCAGCTAGCAAAACGTTCCTGAAGGATAGAAATACTCAAGATCTAAAAATTATCTTAAGGGGATGGAGTCAACACCCTCAATCCCCTTATCTCCTTACTCCCAGCTCCCTGTTATGAAGGACCGGTAACCTTAGGAATAAATGATAAATTCTGTGACAATTAGGTTTCTTCCTGGGAGCTCCTCGGGCATGCACGAGTAACTCGTGTGGGGGGGGGGGTCGGGGGGTGTCGGGAGAGGTGAAAGGGTCGCACATTGCTACAGACCCCGACTCTGTTCCTTTGGCCACCTGGTCCCAGGTTGCTGCGTTCCGGGGGCGGCGCGCGCAGGGAAGCGCGCCAGGCAGTGGTGTGACACGGGGGGCGTGACCGCGAGCCCCCCGCGCGCACCCTTCCCCACCCCCGCGCCACGCTCCGCTCGAGCAGCGTGACTGGCCGCCGCCGTTGCTGCCCGCATACCGGGCTCGGGAGGCTCAGAGCGCGGCGCGCCGAGCGGGACAAGCAGGCGGGCGGGCGGGCGGGCGGGCGGGCTGCTGCCTGGCGTCCGCCGCGCTGTTCTCCTTCCTCCGCCCCCTCCGCCCCTCCGCTGGCGGCCGCGCAGCCTAGAGCCCGGGAAGCAGCGGCTCCGAGCCCCCAGCTCCGGCGTCGGGACCAGCACCGAGGCGGGGGCGGCGGGAGCTCTGAGACCACAGTCGCCGCGGAGAGGCGGAGGGGGGCCCGGCCTGGGTAGGCAGAGCCGAGCGCGTATTTGCGCGTGAGAGCGAGGGCTGCGTGGTGCTCGGTGCGGACACCGCCAGCCCCAGCCCTGATCGCCGCAGCCCGGGAGCCTCCCGCCTGCGCCCCAGGGCGCGCGCGGAACAGCCATGAACACCAACGAAGCCAAGGAGTATCTGGCCCGGAGGGAAATCCCGCAGCTTTTTGAGGTAGGGGGCTAGGTCTGGCAGAGAGGACGGGAGGGTCGGGGAGGGCATCCCCGGTGCTCGGGGTGAGAGGCCGTTCGCAGTTCCACCTTGCAGACTCGGGGCACGGAAGTGAAGGCGCTTGCGGAAGCTTGCTCGCTCGCTTGCCCAGGGGTAGCTGCCTGTCTGGCGGGTTGCGGGGTCCTTGTCGGAAAGGCTGGACTCAGAAGCCTCCATCTCGAAAATCAAGTTTCAGTCCTCGAACAGGGGTTCTGGAAGCAGGCTGCCCCCAGCGCATCCCTCCCATGTGGACCCCCAGGATGGGCTGCTGGCAGCGGCCGGCCGCGCTCTCCCGGGGCGAGGATCAGGCCAGGTGGGTACGCTGGCGCCCAGCAGCCAGCAAGGACTCGGAACTGGGAATCGAGAGCCTTAGTCCCCTCGCGCGCCGAGGGTTGGGCCCCCCGCGTTGACGGGGAAGTGAGGACGAAAGCAGCCCACCACAGGGACAGCTTAGGGGAGAGGAATGAAGACGCAAAAAACAAATCCAAACCCATCAAGTGCAGCGCTACCTCCCGGGTGGCTCTCACCCAGCGCTGCTCTGCGCTTTCGGTGAATGAACTCCTGAGCACGTTTTCCCGTCACCTTGGAAGGGATGGTTCTCCTTCCTCACCTCCCCAGCCCATAGCTTTCGCTTGCCCTCACCAACCCATGTAGAGAAGGCGAATCGGAGAGGGAGTGGCGAGGCGGGCGTGACTCCTGTTGCTCTGTCTTCCGACCGCATCACAGCATCATCTGCACCAGAGACCCGGGAAATGGGGAACACTTTGGGAATGTGGGAGAGGAGGCTTGATGGATGAACTAGAACCTTGGTTAGTTCTAAACCATAGGCTACGTCGCGGATCGTCTTGTTTCCTTTCCTTCTCTCCGTATTTGAATTTTAGAACATTCCTGAATCCTATGTGTTTTTACTTAGGTTAAGGGGAAAAAAAAAAAAATGGAAGCGAGCCAAGCTTCATAGAGCGACCTCTGAAACCTGTTCCCCCATTTCTGAAAGATGATAGACTGTAGACTGATATAGTAAACTGAAAGTTATGCGTTTCTCTTTCTCCTATTTGGGGGGTTTGTTCTGCTAAAAGGAATTTTATAACACTACTTGGGAAAATAATTTTGTCTCTGTTTTCCCAAATTATCTTTAAATGGGCCGCCATAATTACAGATCTCCATTTTCCTCTCACCTCCATAAGCCACCGGTTTCAGGTCCATCTGAAGACAAGATTTCCAGGTAAATCACCCACTGAGCACAAGCCTAGTATGTGAAGCCCCAATCTAGCAAGTGTGTTACTAGTATTTGAAAATAATCAGGAGGTGTTGCATAAGGACAGGTCTTGGGGGTATGCAAGATTCTCGTTAAGAGTTTTTCTTTTCTTTTTTTAATTTTCAAAAACTAAATATGGAGATGAAGAGCTGCAGGGTTTTGTCATAAATACTGCTACTGAGATCAATGTGATCCCTAAAAGAGTAATTAGAAACATCTGCAGCAGGGCCACCTGATTGCAAAGTGCTTCTTAATAGTACACCTTTTTTCTATATAAATGTGAGTACTGTTTTTCCCCCTTGGTAACCACAGAGGATTTTGATAGCTTGTGTATGAAAATCTACACTGTGCAAATAAGTGATGGCAGGCATTTTTGTTCAGGTGCTATGCTTTTCCTTGGCTTTTCTGCATACGAATGGGATGTTTTAAAATAGTGCACACCCAGAAAAGGAAGTCAACTTGCTTAGGTGAAATACAGATATACAGTGTACTTAAATGCAATCCAAGGCAATGGGAAGCTGGAAGGAGACTGCTGGTGACCTCCAAAAGCTCCATCCTTCCAGTAAGAAGAATCTGTGCTGTGCACAGCACAAGAGAGAAGTAAAACTTGGCAGTTCTCCATGTGATGAGTGTAGACAGCAAAACCAAATGCTTTAAGTTTCCAAACTTAAACCAAACACTTTAAGTTTGAGGGAGATTTTCTCCCTCAAAACCACAATGTAGATATACAAAGTTTCTAGGCATACAAAGTTTAGCAGTTAGATATCTATCAAGCCCAAAACATTGGGCACAGTTGTGGATACTAGACACCATTGTAGACCAAGTGATTGATTATTGAATCTACATATTGTCAAGCAACTAGCTGTATCTAACTGACCTTTTCAGATTTCTTTCTGACTTGAAACATCATATGGGCTAAATGGGATATCTCTGGTAGGTTCAAGTTTGAAATGTGTTTCCATTTTTAGATTAAATGTTAAAACAAAAACCACTTTCCCCTGATGAGTTCTTAACTCTAGTTAACCTTATGGTGTATATATTGATCTTGTATCGCTGTACCTTAGAGCAAAGATTTGGCAATTAATTTGAATACTGGGGCAAGTCAAATTAGATTGTTCAGGTTCTCAAAGGGTTGACTCAAGTAGACTGAGTAAAAAATGTTTGCTGGTTGTTTTGGATCCCCGATGGTGGCTGACTATTAGAAGAATGGATTTAAATTATCTATGAAGGAGTGGACCTCATTCCCCCTTCTAAAATCAGTACCCTTTGTGGAGTCCGATATGTTTAGGGAGGCTGGAACCATATTTTCCAGTAAAAAAAAAAATCTCCATTGAGTGCGATCACTCATTTTAGACAATAATAGGGATAAAAAACTAAAAACAAAATCTTGAGTGACTCGAATTGCAGTTGGATTATGTATGGGGAACAGAAAATCTGGCACTTTTTTAATCCCGTATCATATTTTTGCAAGATGTAGAGAGAGGAATATATGGGTTTTGGAATCAAAACCATTGACTTGGAATCCTAGGCCTACGAGTTTCTAGCTGAGTAACCTAGATCAACTCACTAACATCTCTGAGCCAGGATTTCCTAGTCTATAAATGGTGATAATAATGCCACATAGGGCTGAAAGTGCATTGGGTAAGCTAAAGCATGCAAAGATACAGAGTAAGCCCTGCCACAGAGTTAGCTACATTGAGGTAGGAGGAATCCAAGGAGTTAAACGCAATGTGTGTGTATCTGTGTTTGTGTGTAGCACAGATTCTGACATACAAACTGGGTGTGGATGCCCAGGTTAGTTTTTTCTGCTCCCTCTGCAGTTGAACTCCTCTGATTGAACATTCTAACCTACATTATTTAGGATTTCAGAGAACAAATGTACCTGGTAGGAACTGCCTATCATTTAGAGCAAATTGCACAAGAATAATTTGAAAATAAAATACTGTATTTAGGAAAGATGTCAGCTTTTCAAAGGGTGTATGTTTTGTGCATTGATAATGGTGATAATAATCCTCTATGCTTTTTCCATGAAATACTCCAAAGGAAAATACTTTGCACATCACTTCAGTTTCCAGGAATCAGCATTTCCAAATTTATAGCATTTTTAGAAATTAGTACTTATGAAATATCAGACACCAGGTTTTCCTCTGTAACATCAATGGATATTGTAGTGATTTATTATATATCAAATGTTTTTATTTAAACTCAGTCTTTATGTTTTGAGTGAAATTTTTTTTCTAAGTGGAGAACAGTTCAGTATGTACCTACCATGTGCGAGGGAAAGTGTCAGAGGCTGGATATTGCGAAATAAATAAGACCCACACTGTATTGTTGAAGAGTTTATAGGTTAGAAGAGGAGACCAACACATAAACTGGTGGTTTTGGTATGAATGACAGGTAAGATAGTTTTTTCTGGGTATCATGAACACCAAGGAAGGGTGTTGGGTCCACAAGCCAACCTGAGGGCTCAGGGGAGACTTCCTGATGATGATGATGATGATGATGATGATTACAACCACCAACATTTATTATTTACTATGTTCCAGGCACTTAATATGTACTTTACAAATATTTACATCCATTATATGTATGTAAAGTACATTATATTTACAAAATATTTACATTTTTTAATCCTTAAAAAATCCTCTGAAACTGAGGCTTGGAGCCTTTAAGGATGGGTAGGAATGAGATAAATCATGACTGGGGCATTTTTACACACTGCACTTTATCTCATATTGATAAGGTTCTTCTATTTTAAATAGTATAGTTGGCCTTAATTGTTTAAAAGACAGAGGATGCTGAGCTGAAAACTAATTGGTCAAGAATTTAAGGGGGTATTTTAATTATTCAATCAGAGCATAATTTCAACTCTAATTGTTTATTTTTTTTAAATGCAAAGAATCAAAACAACCCAGAATTTAAAGATGGGATATACAGTATTTTGACAAAGGTGGTTTAAAAACATATTTTCTGTGGGCATATTGTGTTGTATTTCAGAGCCTTTTGAATGGACTGATGTGTTCTAAGCCTGAAGACCCAGTAGAGTACTTGGAAAGTTGTTTACAGAAAGTAAAGGAACTAGGCGGCTGTGACAAGGTGAAGTGGGATTCATTTGTAAGCCAGGAGAAGAAGACCTTACCTCCGCTCAATGGAGGGCAGTCGCGGAGATCCTTTCTAAGAAATGGTAATGTATTCATAGAATAATAGTTTATACTTAGAGCAGTTTTCTTTAAAACCTATCATACAAACTGTAGGCAATGATTTAATTTAGTAGGTTTCCCAGCACCTAAAAGGATATTTGGCCCTGGAATGTGACTATTCTGTCTCTGCTACTAATTCTAATCACCTCCATGATAAGACAAACAAAATTACATACTGTTGTCCAGCACTTCACTAAAAGCTCAATGAAATTTTTTACTGCCTTCATTAATTTTGTTTATTCTTCTTAATTAATTAATTTATTTATTTTTGGCTGCGTTGGGTCTTCGTTGCGGTGCGCGGACTTCTCATTGCTGTGGCTTCTCTTGTTGTGGAACACGGGCTCTAGGCGCGGGGGCTTCAGTAGTTGTGGCATACGGACTCAGTAGTTGTGGCGCACGGGCTTAGTTGCTCTGTGGCATGTGGGATCTTCCCGGACTAGGGCTCGAATCCTTGTCCCCTGCATTGGCAGGCGGATTCTTAACCACTGCGCCACCAGGGAAGTCCTGACTTCATTATTTTGTAAAATGAATTACATTAGCAAACTGAATTTTTCTTAAAATTGCAAATTAGACTTTTCCAAATAAATGAGTAGTTGACAGACAAAATTGATAGTTATTGTATAACTACAACAGTTTTTAATTAGCTCAGAAGAGATTTAACTTATTACTGTGTGTCCAAATTCAGAGTTCGTATTAATGTATCTGCATAAATGCATGTAAAGTTTATACTAGCTAACTCAAGAAGGATTTATTTAGCAGCTACTGAATGCAATGCATGAGATTAGGCATTTGGGTGCTACAAAAGAAAAGGGATGCATAAACTTGTTTAACAATTTTAGGGATAGTTTGGAACTAAGAACTGGAATTCACTAGAGGAAATTCATGGTATTCCAGCTTTCTGAAATATGTGCTTATCAAAATTAGTTCAAAATCAGCCAAGCAGCCTTTTGGGCTCCAGATAAAATTGAGAAGTACAATAGTATGTGCAAAATGGAATCAGTTCCAATCAGAGGAAACCAAATAATTCTTTCCCAGTGGCCCAAATCATTCTATTTTCAAAATGTAAGCCATTCTCAAAAATTGTACCACGAAAAGTTTCAGTTATACAGACAGAATTTGAAGCGGAGACAATTCTATTTGCAATAAATACAAGGGGGAAATAAATCTTAGTTTGTTTTATCTTACTTAGTCATGACCCACTTAGATTTTATTTGAACATGATGTGGGGAAAAGTCAGAGTGTGTTAATTTTTAAGAAACACAAGCAGGGAGAAAAAGCAGAAATGACGTTGTCTCAGAAACATCTCCAGAGAGGAGAAGACTCCTTCCCTGTCAATGCAGGGTCACCACTAGGTGATTTAGGCTTGGGTGCTCAAGAGAGAGCCTTTAAGCAGTTACCACTGCAGCACACCACTTGGTAAATTACTGCTTAAGTGAACATGATGATATTTTTGTGAGCTTGAAGGGTTCATACACCTTCCCAAAAGGGCTAACTTCCTTCCCAGGGTGTCATCATATGTTCGAATCTGGCTCAATGTTAAATACATGCCCTAGGCCCTTGTTAAATCAAGTGACATAAATATGGGGAATTTCTTTTTAAACCTTAAAGCACTAACAAACCTTAGGTATTACTGGATTTAGTCTAAGATATTTTTATGTTCTTAAATTTAAGTCTAAGAGGACGTGACATTCACTTAGTTGAAAAACTGGTTATATAAAGTGACCGTTTTGTAACAAAATGAAATTTGAATGCTTCTGTTTTATACTGTTACATGACTTGATTATATGTAGAAGCCAGGCAGGCCAAGTATGTAATAGAGAATGGTGGAGACTGTGGTCAAACTAGAGAACAGAACTAGAGCGAACAATCATTGTCTAAAGGCAGTCAAGCACAAATTTTGGAAAAATGTCGAGCTGAACAAAGCACATCTATGAGGCTACATTGGGCCCACAGATGACCAGTTTGGAACTCTTGATCTAGCAGGATAAGCTAAAATAGGAATGGAAAATGTAGATTTAACTTTCATTAGAACTGAAATCACTAGTTAATTTTAGAATCTCCATATCTGCTAGTACTTTACCAGAATTCCAACTCAGAGATCTTTTAATTAATCATCAAATAAAACCTTTCACATACTATGGTGACAAGAATGTTGTATCACACTGTTTAATATCTGGAACGTAGGCTAAAAGACAGAAAATGGTTTCTAAACTGATTGATCCTATAATAATAAAATATTATTTTATGAAATGCTTTGCACGTGTGTGCTTTGTGGGTTTTTAACTATGATTTACAGAATAGCTTATTAAAATCGACAAAATTGCTAACTTCCCTGTAACTTTAAGCACTATTATTATGTCTAGAAACAAAAAGTGATTCATGCATTTTTTTGCTGAAATATTGACATAGCCATGCTAATATATAATTATCATGAAAAATTATTCTGTGAAATAGAACATTTTAATAATTTTTAAGCAAATTACTTTCCTAAGTAAAAATATGATAAAAGCAAGGATAAATTATTAGCTGTCAGTTCTTTAAAGCATTGTACCATAAATATGAGGTGAGCATCCATTTTTTTCTACCGTTTGTATACAATTGAACAAATAATTACTCACAAATAAGAGTTTTAGTCCCATAGCTCCAGCTGTCCATAGAGCTTTTCTTCTGGAATATCTCATTGTCATCTTTACTCAACATGTCCAAAACCAAACATATCATATTTGCTTCAAAACCAGCCCTCCTCCACTTATTGAGTACTACTATGTGTCAGACACTCTTTTAAGACCGAGAATGTAGCCACCAAAAAATAATAAACATGGCACCTGCCCTCATGAACAAACACGGCACCTGCCCTTATAGTCTAGTGATGAAGTCAGGTATTAAAAATATAATTAGAAGCACAATGGATGCTATAGAAAATACCATATGCTATAGAACTAACCATATTAACAGGCAGATGGATCCAACCTAAGCCAGGGTTCAGGGTAGGCTTCCTGGAAGAAGTGATATGCTAATACTAAGAGACGGAGACGTGAGTAGGTGTCAACTAGAGCAGGATGGAGGAGATTGAGAGTATACTAGGGAACAGAGAACAGAGATTTCTGACGTAGAGGAAGAAGCCAGGATAAAGACAGGAAGGAGACAAGCCCAGTATTTCTGGAGCATAAAAGAGAGGGCAGAAAGATACTGGATGAAATGCAATATGTTCCTTATTGTTTTAGACTTGACACCTGGCAATTGTTTTTTTTTTGCGGTACGCGGGCCTCTCACTGCTGTGGCCTCTCCCATTTGCGGAGCACAGGCTCCGGACGCGCAGGCTCAGCGGCCATGGCTCACGGGCCCAGCCGCTCCGCGGCATGTGGGATCTTCCCGGACCGGGGCACGGACCCGTGCCCCCTGCATCGGCAGGCGGACTCTCAACCACTGCGCCACCAGGGAAGCCCCTGGCAATTGTTTTTGAGCTGTCATCTTCTGTCATCTCTCGTATCTGAATCCGAATCATGTCCTTCATATCCAACCATTCGTTTCCATTTCCCCTCTTCCCCTCTAGTCTAAGCCCTCACCTCTTACATGTGAACTACTTTAACAGCTTCCTAGCTGCTACCCTTTCTGCTCCTAGTTTCTCCCTACTCAAATCCATTCTAACCACCACCAGGTTAATTTTCCTAAAAAATATATTTCATATTTCATCATGTCATTTCTCTACCCCCCCGAAACCTCCACTGGCTTTCTACCAGATTAAAGCTAAACCCTTTACCTTGGTGATCAAGGCCATCCACATTGTGGCCACACTCTACCTACCCATCTTCTGGCTTTTCTCCATGGGCACCACCTACTTCAGCAAGATTGTTCTCTTTGTTATTGGTTCAGCAAGTATTTATTGGACACTAACTTTGTGCCAAGCATAGTTCTAGCTCCCAGGGATACAAAGTTCCAGATAGGAAAGGTCCCTGCTGTTATAGAACTTATTCTAATGGGAGAGGACAGACAATGGTGAAGTGGTAGGTGCTGTGCAGAACATTATTATAAGGGGTGATGTCCTTGAAATTAACTGGCTGGCTACCCTAGATTAAAAGGTCAGTAAAGTCCTCTTATAGGAGGTGACATTTAAGCTGAGGTGTGAATGACAAGAAGCAGTCAGCCGTGGGCTCAACAAGGAAAGAACATTTCAAGCAATGAACTGTGGTATAGAAGCAAGCAACTCGTAGAGTCTGCAGTAGTCCAGATAAATGATGGCGGCTTGGGGATGAGATGTGGTAGTGGAGATGGAGAAAAACGTGTGCGTTTGGGATATGCTTTGGAGAGAAGTCTATGGGAATAGATATGAAGAGTGAGGGAAGAAGGTAATCAAGGATAATGCTTAGGGTGTTGCCCTGCATTGGGTGAAGCGGTTCAATTTCAAGGCAGAGCTGGATAATGTTGTTAGTGCCTTTCCTGACATAGCTCTTCCCAGAATTTTCTAAAGAATACACACTGTCGGGACTTCCCTGGTGACACAGTGGATAAGAATCTGCCTGCCAATGCAGGGAACACCGGTTCAATCCCTGGTGCAAGAAGATCCCACATGCTGCGCAGCAGCTAAGCCCATGCACCACAGCTACTGAGCCTGCGCTCTAGAGCCCACGTGCCACAACTACTGAGCCCACGTGCCACAAGTGCTAAGCCCGGGCGCCTGGAGCCCATGCTCCGCAACAAGAGAAGCCACCGCAGTGAGAAGCCTGCACACTGCAGTGAAGAGTAACCCCCGCTCGCCACAACTAGAGAAAGCCTGCACACAGCAACGAAGACCCAACGCAGCCAAAAATAAATAAAATTTTAAAAAAAACAAAAGAATATCCACTGTCCTCTGTAGACCACTCTTCTCGTGGAATTAAAGTGAGTTCCATGAGTCAGTAGTCAATGACCTCATTTATTGTATCAACAGAAAATGGAAAGTTCTACGTGATCTCCAGAGGAAATGTGAGTATTATGCCATGCTAAAATCCAGTAATCCGCTTAGCCAGATTACTCATGGCAGGCCAGGTGACCTCCGTCTCCTTTGTGCAGGTGCTCTTTGGGTAGTTAGGGCTTCTCTTTGCCTCCTTGAATACCAGCACATGGATGAGGAAGGAAAGATCCATGAATCAAACAGCAATAGCTGGTAGAGAGCATCTGCCTCACTTGGGCTTGCCAGCTCTGTCCTCTGATCTATTTGAACATGTCATTTGTATTTCCGATTCTGAGTCTGTGTTTCGTTTCTACCAACTGAGAAATACTTGCCACTTTTCATCACCTGTTCTAGTCTTTCGAAGTTCAAGTCCTGCCTCTTTTGCAGTCTTTTTCTACCACTCCTGCCCAAATGGATCTACCCATCAATTGAACTCCTATGGTGTCTACCATAAGAGAAATTCATTTTAGCACTTATCCTGCCTGGTGTGCATACCGCTGTCAGGTATAAGCATGTGAGCTCTAGTTTGTAAGCTCTGTGGGGACAGGACTACCTCTTATTTTATTCTTCTACTGAACCATCCTCAACACACTAACATGTCTGACAATAAATAGCAAAGATTTATTGCTGTTGTAGATGTAAATTTAAATCTTCATAGTTACCTTTTTAAATCAAGGAGATTAAAGATAATAAATATTGAGAATGTAAAGTTAAATGATGTTGAAAGATGTTCCAAATATAGAAATTGTTTGCTACTCTTTACCTGTCTTGTGACAGTACCTTAAGTTTTTGTGCATTATGCCACCAAGCCATTCCATTGGACTACAGTAGAGTACCTGGATCATAGTGACTGCGTATCTATATTTATGGATAAATGAAACACGTTGTGCATAAGCATTGCCTCCATCGGCAGCTGCATATGGTTATAAAAGTTGTGAAGGTGTGTGCTACAAAACTCTAGGAGCACCATTTTCGGGGACTAGGATGTATACCAACTACCAAGCAAGACTAGGCAGTACTTAAGAAGGTTGCTCGAGGGCAGAGGTTGGCAAACTATGACCCATGGGCAAGTCTGGCTCACTGCCTGTTTTGTTTTGTTTTGTTTTATTTTGTTTTGCGGTACGCGGGCCTCTCACTGCTGTGGCCTCTCCCGTTGCGGAACACAGGCTCGGGAGACGCAGGCTCAGCGGCCATGGCTCACGGGCCCAGCCGCTCCGTGGCATGTGTGATCTTCCCGGACCGGGGCACGAACCCGTGTCCCCTGCATTGGCAGGCGGACTCTCAACCACTGCGCCACCAGGGAAGCCCCTCACTGCCTGTTTTTTATAAACAAAGTTTAATTGGAACACAAACACATCCATTTGTTTATTTGTTGATTGATTGATTGATTGATTGATTGATTCAGTTCTTGGCCATGTTGGGTCTTCGTTGCTGCGTGCGGGCTTTCTCTAGTTGGGTGAGCAGGGGCTACTCTTCGTGAGGTGCTTAGGCTTCTCATTGTGGCAGCTTCTCTTGCAGTGGAGCACGGGCTCTAGGTGCACGGGCTTCAGTAGCTGTGGCACGCGAGCTCAGTAGCTGTCACTCATGGGCTCTAGAGCACAGGCTCAGTAGTTGTGGCACATGGGCCTAGTTGCTCTGCGGCATGTGGGATCCCCCCGGACCAGGGCTCAAACCCGTGTACCACGCCTTGGCAGGCGGATCCTTAACCACTGAGCAACCAGGGAAGTCCCCATTTGTTTATTTATTATCTACAACTGTTTTCCTGGCTAAGTGGAGTATGAGACTCTCTGTTCCTCAAAGCCCAAAATGTTGATTATCTGGCCCTTTAAGGAAAAGTTTGCTGACAACTTAAGGGGACGGGAGTCTTCTTCCAGTTGAAAAAAATCAGACTCATTTAATTTCTAAATTTCTTCAACTAATTGGTTAAGTGCAAAAAAATGTTTTATTGTGCTTTTTTTTCCGTTTCAAAGTTATCTTACTCTTTTGCAGTAATGCCTGAAAATTCAAACTTTCCTTATCGACGGTATGATCGGCTCCCTCCAATCCATCAATTCTCCATAGAAAGTGACACAGACCTCTCAGAGACTGCGGAGTTAATTGAGGAGTATGAGGTCTTTGATCCTACTAGACCTCGACCAAAAATCATTCTTGTCATAGGTACGAGGACAGAAAGCAAAATTTTCATACTGTTGCTCACTTTGTTTATATATTTACATTTCAAAAATTATGTCAACTATACATCATATTTGCAAATAGTTGGATAATGACAAACAATGGAAACAAAAGCTTGAGAGACAGTAGATGGAAATATTTTTAGCATACTTTTCAATAAAACATATATTGTTATAATTATATAACCTAATGCTTATTGCACTTTTATAGAATCTCATTACAATGTCGTAGAAATTCTCTGTAATAAATGAAGATTTACCACCTTATGGTTTTTATTTGCTTAATTTTTAACGTAGATAGCTGAATCCATTAGAAGTTTTCTAAACATGATGTGTTTTTTCCCTTTAATTCAACAAATTGAATTTTTATTCACTATTAACTTCAGAGCAAAAAATAAACAACAATAATAATATGTTGGTAAAGATTCATGTAAATGAATCTTCCTTATGACAGACTGGCACCAATGATAAAATCTAAGTTTGATGTTATTAGACAAGCAAATCTAATAAAATAGTGTTTTACACAGCATGTAACATCTGAGTATTAATGAAAATAACAAGGGTAATAGTTAATTTTTTAAATTGCCACTATGAATCTTATGTTGAATATGAAAATAGCAGTCTGATGCCATTTCACAAGGATTAGATATTGAAAATGTCTTAAGTAATTTTGCAGAATGCATTTCTGACCACTTTTGCAAATTCTAACTTCCTCCAAAGCTATAAAATTTTGAAGAGTCCTGTCAACATGAAACATTTGTAGTCATTGTCTCACTTTCCAATTTGACTCAGCTTTCACAAAGATGACCAAAAGCAAAAATCTAGCGTAAGATGTTAAAGCTAGTCTAGCCAGTAACTGTTAACCGAGGGCCAAATGTATACAGCCCCCAAGCAAAGACGTACTGCTCCCAGAAGATGTAACGATGATGGCAACTGGGGAAAAAACATGCAAATAAACACACCAAACTAGAACAAGAATTTAAGTTCACCCGTCTAGAAGGAGGGATGTTTGTACATCTATAAGTGTAATGAAAATGAAATTGCAAATATGTTTATCCCTGAATTGTTATATTATAGAAAAATAATTGTAAGACGAGAGTACAGAAATCAGCTTTCTAAAAGTCAAAATATTCTCATGGTTTATGGCAGCCACTATTATGCCATAAATCTCTATCTATTCTTCAAGGTGGAATTTTTGTGTGTGTGCTTAAAAATTTGGGGTTCTTACCTAGAAGACAAGGAAACCCTTCATTAAAAAATAGAGCTACAGGTGGAGAATAATTGGAAATTATTTCACCTTTTTTAAATGAGATATTCTTTCATTTTTGTTTTTCTTGCTGTTAGTACAATATTGGTGATTATTATCAGGATAAACAAATGAAGGCTTGATTGCCCATGAAAAAGGTGTAAAACAAGTTGTTCTTGTATAAAACAGCACATATATGTGAATTTTTTGTGCATTGTGTATTTTATATGAAAATGATTAAACTATTTCAGTAAACTAAGATCTGTGGAGAAGATATGAATGCTTAAATCTCCTACACTTCACAGTTCTTTTTTACTCAATAAAATCAACTTGCTTCCCAAGGGTGTGATTTTGGTTTTAGACTTACACTGTGTGTTGTAACATTTTATGTATTACAAGAATGATACAGAACCAATGAGTGTAAATAACTTTTAGAGGACTGAGATAAGAAAAGAACAGAAAAAGTGAATCTGAGGTTATCTGAGAAAATTGGGACAATTTTATGACTTTTGAGGAATTATAAAATAGTTGTACCTGAACCTTACAAATTTTTATTAGTTCCAACCTGAAAAAGAGTGGGGGAGGTACAGATATCCACATCCAAATAAGCAAAATTTCCCTTCTGGCAATACAGATTTTTTTTTTAAAGGTAACCTTCTTGGCACAGATATTAATGAATCTCTCTTATGTTAGCATAATCATAAAATCTAAGAGTTAGATGGATCCTAATATTTAGAAGTAGTAGAATTAAATAAATATAGCAAAATTAAACTTACTCTGGTTTCAGGGAGAAGAAGGTAAGATTAGTTTGTTAGGAAGCTCCGGTAATCAAACTCATCCAATAAATTAATGCTCTTCTCTGTCAATTGTGCTAATCGTATTTTTTTGTTGTCTGCTAATGCCTCCATTAATTGACAAAAAAATATTTTTCCTTGAAGGTGCCATAACTTTCTTAGCATGTCTGAATTTTTAAAAATTCAATATGTTCTCTTATTTTGATGATTTGTCAGATCAGCTGTGAAAATATGAAAGATAACTTTCATTCTTCAGGGATCAAATTAGCTTGAATTTGTTGATGGCATTGATCATGTAATTATTTGTCTTCAAGCCAGTCCATGGTTTGCCCATGGCTTAATAGGCCAAGAGCAGCTACTTGGAACCAAAACTTTTCACTTGTGAAGTAATGAATTTAATACAGTAGTAGTTTATAATGGTAAGTCTAATAGGGTTGGATTTAGAGTTTCTTAGCAAGACAATGTCAAAAATGTAAACAAATTTCTATCATAAGTTTAATAAGGCAATGAAAAGGCAAAAACCAGTTTTATTAGGATCATTATTTGGGATTGAGGTTAAGGAAAGGGTCTCAGTATACTAGTTGATCTTAGAATTCTGCACATTAAAATTTTTAGAGAGGAAATAACCCCTAGCCAACCAAGTTCACTCGCTCAGAACTCTTCTTACAAAATCCAGAACAAAGCGAAGCAAACACCATTCTTTTTTGCTTATGTTATTTGCAACAAGAATTTTTTAAAATATACTAAATAATGGTATGTAAAATGATTGCTACCCCCCAAAAAACTTGATAAATTGAATTAGTAGACAGAACATTAACTCACTTTTCTATTGAATTTTTATTTTTAATATTGCTTAACCAATTATAATTATGTTTCAGTGAATAGCACCAAAAACAATTCATTACTTATTATCATTGACTTTTTAAAATATTTTTTCTACAGGCAATAATTTATGATTAAGTATTTTAAAATATTTTATTTTTATAATTGCCAACAAATAACAAGTCAGACTGGGATGATTGTTATGTGCTTTATTTTGAAATTTGCTCAGACTTTAGATTCCAGTTAGTCTAGGTTGTCTAGAAATATAAATTTACTAAAATAATGTAATATCATTTGGAAATAAAATCTGAGACATACATTTTATAATCTTTTAGTGCTTATGCTTTTAAAAAATAAATGGCAGTTACTGATTATTGGTATTGATTTATGTTGCAAAATATTGATTATTTCATGCTAATGTATCACAAAATCAAAACTATCATGAGTTCTATGAAATTGTTCTACCTTAAAGATCTCTTCCATTCACTGCGTATTTATTGCATAAAACTTTTGACTTTTAAAGGATATAAGGCAAGGAGGTGGATGAACAGACAAGTCAAAGAAAGATTTAAATAAGCCATGTCAATATTGGTGTGCCTTTGGTTAAAACTAATTTTTACATTTCACGAAACTGCACGGTAACTCTTTGTTCGGATGTAACACAATTGTTTTTTGCATCTCATAGATTTTTCTTTGATTACAGAGGATAAAAGTATTAGAGTTTACACAGAAAAATGGAAGCGGTTTCTTTCAACTGCATTATTCAATTTTTAAAACTAGTAGTTTACTAAAATCGGTAAGGGAAAAAATGTCTCTTTCATCTAATACAATCAATCACGACATTTCTACCCTTTCCTCGGCTAAATCTACACCTTCTCTGCATTCAGAGGTAGCACTGAGATGCCACAAGTGGAATGGTTTCTGCCCTGGTACTGGTCTAGACTCTGAATCTCAAGATGAAGATAATAGTTGTATGAAAGGGTGTTTCTTATTGTATCAGAAGGTCCCAATTTTGCCTGTTTTAAATGATAGGTGGTCCAGGAAGTGGAAAGGGTACTCAGAGTTTGAAAATCGCTGAACGTTATGGATTTCAATACATTTCTGTGGGAGAATTATTAAGGAAGAAGATCCACAGTACCAGCAGCAATAGGAAATGGAGTCTTATTGCCAAAATAATTACCACTGGAGAATTGGCCCCTCAGGTACTGTTGTATAATTTGCTTCTATTCTGCAAAGATTTTTATACCACTTGTGAGTGTAAGTTTAACTGTGGTTTTTCATCTTTTTTCTTAAAAAAGGAAACAACAATTACAGAGATAAAACAAAAATTGATGCAAATGCCTGAGGAAGTGGGCATTGTTATCGATGGATTTCCAAGAGATGTGGCCCAGGCTCTATCTTTTGAGGACCAAGTAAGAATGTCTCCTTATCTTTTAAATGACCTTATTTTTTTTTTCTTAAATATTTGAGATTTAAAATATATATATATATATTTCTTGGAAGACTTGCTCTTATTTGGAATGAATTCTAATCTGAAAATGAACAAGTACATTCATTTGGGTTGGCAGAAGGTCATTTCGTTGGCACACATGCTTAAAAACTGAAGACAGTCTCTGCCAAAAAGGAAAGATAAAAACCAATAATAGAATTCATTATTTTTTTAACAAAAATGCACATCTCTCTAACCTTTACTTCAGAATACTTTCCCTAAGATTGTATTTTTAATCTTTAATCACTTAAAACAAGCCTTATTCAGTACTGCCTGGGGATGTAAAATATCACCCTACACTCACAGTTAAGGAAGCGCTCTTCACCGGTGTATGAAACACTAAACCTCGTATCTATAACAAGGTAGGGTTCAGTTTGCCAAAGTTTACTCAAATTTGAGTAGATTACGCCTGCTCAATACCCAATAATCTATTTGAAAGAGAAATAAATCAATTAAAATATTTTGTATATCTATTTAATCTTTGTAAAGCTAGTGTGTCTAATTTTTCATTGAAAAATGTTAATTACAAAAATAACAAATTTTAAGTCCTGGTGTAAAAAGTGAACGTCCATTAATGCCCTTCTTCCATTCCACTGCCCATCCTCTCCTGAGAAATAGAAATAGTGTTAAGCTTATTATATATCCTTCCAGGCCTTTTTCTATATACTACACTTTTACACACCCAGGCATGGACATGTGTGCATGCTCACATACAAATGCAGTTTTAATTTTCATAGCTATTTCCAAACTGTCCTCCAAAAAGAATTTTCCAAGTTATAGTCCCATCGATGTTGAATAAACGGTATATTTCTCCAGACCCTTTCCAACCAGATATAATTCATATTTAAAATTTTTGCCAACCTGTTAAGTAAGAAACAGTATTTCACTTTTTATATTTATATTTCTTGAGTTATTACTGAGGTTAAGTATATTTTCAGATACTTACTCACCATTTGTATTTCTTTCCTGTGTGAATGCCTGCTTTCCTTTGCCTATTTTTCTACAAACTTGTTTTTCTTTTTCTTATTTAGAGAAGCCTTTAATATATGACCGATATTATATCAAGGAGAACTAAGTCAAATAAGTTGTCAGTTTATGTCTCATATAAAAGAAGTGTGGAGTTAGGCAGTTCAAGGCCAAAGATGGCTTCATGAAAGCTGTCTTTGAATATTCACATTAACTGTTTTGGGGATGCTTATTGTGCTGCAATATCTTTCTCCCCTCCTCAGTTCTCTCCCTCCCACAGCAAGTCCAGAATCTCTTCTTACTCAGCTTATGGGCTTGGTTCTAATTGCTCTGGCCTTGAAGAGAGAAAAACTAGAAAAATCAATTTTTTGTTTTTGCTATTGCTGCCAAATGATATTGCTGTTGAAAATGGGTACTGTGTCAGCCATTCCATGTGATTCATGGCTACAGTGGAAGCATGAGAGCCAATCAGGCAGGAATTCACACCCAAACCTGGTCCACACTTCATTTCAAATGAAATGCACTTGGCGAGTACAAGCAGAAAAGCTGAGTGATTCTTTCTGTCTATTGCTTTTCAAACATGCTATGTCTCTTGCTTCTCCCCTGGATAATAACTCAGGCAGATCCTAGAGTTTTCCTGGTCACAGATAGTTTCATTTTTAGGTATTAAAAAGCCCAGTCCACAATTATATCTCAGTAAAGCCAGAAAAAAAATTAATAAAAAAAAGCCCAGTCCAATATAAATCAAAACTTCAGTTCCTCATTCAGTTTAACATGTCTGCTATCCTCAGCTTGGGCCTGGTTCAGGCTCAGAAAACTAAAGTGATGTCTCAGAATCCTGAAATTCTTCCTCATGTTGCTTGCAATGGGGCAAGTAGTGAGGAAGGGGCAGAAAATGCATGACTCTCCAGCAGCTCTCTCTGCACACCTGATCAGTTTCCACCTTCTCTTCTATAGCCTAGTCATGAGTGATGGGCCTTCACCACAATGGGTGAAGGGTCACGGTATCAGTTTGGGGACACCTGCTAGCAGGTTCCTTGAGATGGTCTGGTATCTCTCTGTAGAATGTACAGTCACTTGCATTTACCGTTCTGAGCCACACTACTGAGGCTAGAAGAGTCCAATGTAACATTTTCTTAGGTTGCCACTGTAGCTGCCTAGAGGTTCTTGCCCACTCAGGCAGTCCAGTGGTGTCTGAAGTTGGTGCTGCCTTTGATGAGCTGCAGGAGTTCGGAGAGTGCAGAGGCAAAGCTGCAGGGTTTATGTAAAGCAAAGTGTTAGGGTCAGCCCCTATTACTCCATACCCTATGTAGGATTAAGCTCCTGTGATGTCATTTTTTTGGGTACCATTTCTGACACCAAATGTGTGGGGAGTTTCCACACCAATTCTCCAATCCTCTGACACCAACTAGATGTCCAAGAATTGAATTCAACTCTGACACTAAATATCTGGAGTTGGCACAGACCCTGCAGGTTAAGGCTCAGTCCTACATGACTGCCCCCCGCTTCAGACATCATTCAAAAGTCCTAAGGGCACCTGTATTCTCTCCAAACAGCTGTAAATTTGGAGCTTTCCATGGCATCCCCCACAGATTTGATAATTCACTAGACCAACTCACAGAAATCAGGAAAATGCTTTATTTACATTTACCAGTTTATTATAAAGAATACAACTCAGAAAAATAAAAAAAGAAGAATACAACTCAGGAACAGCCAAATAGAAGAGATGTGTAAGGCAAGGTATGGGGTTGATGATGGCAGGGACCTTGCATGCCGTCTCTGGGTGCACCTCCCTCCCAGCATGTCAGTGTGTTCACAAACACAAAAGCTCCCCAAACTTCACTGCTGAAGAGTTTTTATAACCCAGTCTTCAAATCCCCTTCCCCTCCGTGGAGGCGGGGGAGCGGGGCTGAAAGTTCTCACCTTCTCGTCTCATGCTTGGTCTTTCCAGCAAACCATCTCCATCCTGAGGCCATCCAGTGGCCCTGCCCTGAGTCACCTCATTAGCTTAGACTCAAGTGTAGTCAGAAGGTGCTAATTACGAACAACAGAAGACATTCCTATCACTCAGGAAGTTCCAAGTGTTTTAGAAGCTCTGTGTCAGGAATCAGGGACAAACACTAAATATATATATTTTATTATACCACACTCCTCAAAGTTTTTCTTTAACCAGCTTTTTTTTTTTTTTTACTGAACATGTGGACATGTATAAACACACAGGCAGAAATTTTTCCCCAAGACTTCCTCACAGGTCCAGAGCATAAGAAGAGATGGATTTCTGACATCAGCCATATACACTAGTGATGGTAAGACCATTGTAACAAAAAGACCCAACACTTAAGTGGGCAAAGAAGTGTATTTTTTTTTTTATCATAGGGAAAAATGTCAACATGAACAGTCCAGATTGACTGGGCAGCTTTTCTCCTTGAGATCATTTAGGTTTTTTCCAAGTTGTTGTTCTGCCACCTCCTAGGCCATGTCATCATCTGTCTGATCGAAGCAGGGTTGCCATCACATATGGGTTCCAACTGGCACATAAGGGGAAGAGAACATGAAGGTCTGAAGTCCCAGATCTGGAAGTGGCATCCATCACTTCTGCTCACATGATGTTGTTGAGAATTTAGATGTGTCATAATTGCAAGGCAGGCTGGGAAACTTAGTCCAGTTCTATTACTGTGGAAGGATGGTAGAACTGACTAGCAGCTTCTACGCAAGTTTGCCCCTCTGACCATCCAAATGTCTCCATGCTCCCTTCTTCCCACACAGAATGTACTCACTCACCCCCTAAAGAACACAGACCAGAACCCCATCATCTAGTTCAAAAGTCGAGAATCTTTATTGATATTCAGTTCTCTCCGTTCGGTCCAGATTTGATTTCTCATCACAGACACCTATAAACATCAAGTTATCTAACCTCCCTGCCAACAATAAGCAACGGAGGAGTAATACCAGAAGAAGGGAAATAGAGGCTCCTATTCAGAAAAGGGAATTTGGGCAATATAAATGGTAGTCCCTGAACCACAGCAAATAAATCCTGTGAGGCAGGGATTGCCAAGGGTCTCTGACCTGAAAGTGGAGTGATTTCCTGGCTTAGTCCATTGGCAACTCCATTTTCTCTCTCAAAGAGTAACACTTTGCCTGTTCTCTTCTGAGTCCCCTGGCCCTCTGAGAAGTTCTCCTTATTGTCTATTCTGCATGGTCACAGGTCACATCAAAGTGATGTGTTGGAGACTACGCCTTCCTTAGGGGAGGTATTTTAAGTGTGAAAAATACACAAGCTTTTTCTGGCTAGGCTTATAGTTGTTTTGCATTTTCTCAAAAATTTGGTAGGCTTCTGCTCTTTTTGCTTGCAGGTAGTTCCATGTACCTGTAACTACATTCAAAGTTCTTTTCTGCATATCAATAGATATTAAGCTGCTTTGTTTGTTTTCTCATCTTGATGGCAGTTACTTTGAGGCCATATAAAACAACAGGCTTGGGTAGGAAGGCAACATTCTTAGTCTGGGTTTTGCCTTAGGGCTGGGTCCCTACTTTCGGAAGGAGTTGGGTTGTTATTGGGAGTCCTTTGAACAGCACTAACCGTATATTCTGCTGTCTAGAGGTATAGAAGCAGTTGGCTTTTTCAATCTTATGAGGTCTTAAATTACCAGATACTTTCGTTTTTCTTTATCTGCTTGCAAATTGGTCAGTTCTTTCTTGGGCTTATCTTTTTCTTGTTATATATTGCCAAACACAACAGAGAACATCAACACATACTAACATTCTAGCTCTTTCTAGCCATTTCATCTCTAACTATGGGCTCCATAAGAACATGGTCTACCTTCCAAGTTATCACAATAGTTACACCAATCATTTTGCAATGGTATAACAAGGGTCACCAACTTCCAATCTAAAATATCTGTACCTTTATTGCCCAAGAAAACCAATACCATATAATTTAGTTTTTGATGTAGTAGT